GTGGACAAAAAAACAACAGCACCCAAACACATGAGAACAATGATGTGCCAGCATAATAGCTCATTAGGCGTTGGATTATATTTGAGGTTTTATTAACTTAAAACTAATACTCAATTCATTTTAGGGATTTGAATAAACCTGTTTCTGTTCACTGGAAAGGTTAGTTATGAATTTTTACTCATCAGTACATCTCTAAAAAAAGTATTTTTTCAGATAAACACTAGTTTTACACACAACCCTATTCTAAAGTGTATGTTTCTTAGTATAACAACTATATAAGCCTTAACTTTGAGTAACCACAAAAGCGTGCACACAGCATTTTCCATTAGACAGAATAGTGTAACTGTCATATAGTAAAAAAGCAATAAATTGCTGAACTGTTGCACTGATATCCATTAGCTATTGTCATAAAGTGTACCTGTTGAAATTGTAGGCTCGTGTATAATGACTGCAGCAGGGAACAACAGGAGCAACGCCAGATTGGTGAGATGTAAAAGATGAGTGCTGGTGAGGAGCAGCAGACCCTAACAGGGGGGAAAGGGAATAGATGACAAATTCCTAAAAAGATTCAAGTGCAACTTAAATCTTTGCAGATGACTTTTCAAAAGTGTTCTGAAAAAGGTGTGAGATTTGATATAATGTGGATTCATAATTGTGGCATGGGGGTTAATACTTATCTAAGTCAGAAGAACCCATCTAACCTTTTCCTGAGACCTCTCGAGGATCAAGGCTGTAACAGCAAACACGTTGGCAGCTAGAAGGAACAATGATATATGATAACAGTCTGAGTGTGCTGTGTTTAAAACCAACACCATCACAGAGCTCACTTTAAAGGAGTGCAAAAGCATTATGAAGCCTTTTGTAGTGCCAGAAAGAGCTTTTGTATAATCTAATTAAATGGAGCATAGCGTTAGTTCAGGCAAGTCACGACGTCACACTCTACTGTCATGCCAGAGTTTCGGTAACAGCTGATCGCACGCAAGCTGCATCAGCTGATGGCCAGCGTATTCGCTTCAAAGCGTCTTATTGGCTAAATAGCACTTATGCCGCCTTATTTAAACTGCTCTAGCTGCCTACTTTTGCTGCTTCCTCTGCAAAGCCGCATTTGCATCCCTCCTCCACCCGAGCTCCTCCTTAATCATGTCATGCTTGTCATTGATGCTTGCTCAGTTTGGATTTGCTGCTTATCTCCCTGCCTTATAGCTTTCCTTGTATGCATGGGAAGGGCAGGGAGATCCCAGAACAGAGCCATACCGCCAAATATAAATAATTGCAATAAAATAATTCATTTGACAAAGTGATCCTGACTGAATTGAATTTAAGTTATAACCCTGAGGGTCTAAGTTTTGCTCTCTTCAGCGACGGTCTTGCAGGGACAGTGAAATACAGAACACGTGTCACAGACAAATACGTGAGGATAAGAACTGCTTACCCTTGTAAGTTGGCCATCTACAGCTTTCTAAGAATTCTATGGATTTTGGTATTTTTCCTGTAATTATATCCAAAAGAGTTTCTCACCCAGAATGAGGTTCACTGACGGCCAGTTGCAGTTGTCTTCAATGAGATGCTCCAAAACCTTCTTCACGTCAATTAAAAAGCCATGTCTGATAGGAGAAGGACATAAAGGGCAACGTTGAAAACAAATAACAAACAATTGCCTTCTTGCCTTTTTTTCAAAGCGGACAGCTGAAGAGATACAGGGAATGTTGGATGTCATGCAGCAAAGGGCCTAGGTCGGACTTAAACCCACAGCCGCTGCGACAAGAACTATAGCCACAGTACATAACCACTAGGCTATCCGGCGCCCCCATTTATGCAAGTTTTAAAAAAAATATTAACATAAATAGTTTGACCATATTTCTTAAGTTACTTTAAGCACAAGTATCTTGTGTTTATTTTAAACTCAAGAAAAACACTGTCTTTCTAATTTTACTACATGACAAAACATTATGGACAAACATAATCAACATCTTTAGATAGCACGTCAAAATGCTAACATGTGCGGGTTTGCACGAAACAAAGATGACAGTGGAGGCTGATGGGAATGTAAGTTTTGTTAAAAAATTAGGTCATAAAACAAAGAGTTGAACAAACTGAATTTTTGACTTGATTCTGGATGAACCATCAGGAGGTCATCAGCCTTTTGAAAAGCCCATTGACAGTAAATGAACTGTCAATAACTGACCAACATTGCCATTTCTACAGTTAAACTTTGACCTTGAAGCAAATGTCAGACATCAGTTTTCCCCATGTGCACACATTAGTTAGAAAATAAAGTTTAACAAATACAAGTAACTAAAGAATAAGTAGAAAATGCATGGTAGGTCATATATATGCATGGATACATCTTTATTTATACTCACTGTATGAAATTCTCCAAAAGCAAATGAGCGTGAGTCAGTACCTGAGAATGACAATAAATCACAAAGAAAATGTGAAAAAAGAGTCAGTGTGAATTCAATAACCAATGAATTCAATAAACATGAGAAAACTGACCAGCAGAATAATGATCCAGTTGAGGATGCCTCTGTATTTAGTGAAGCTGCTGTTGGAGCTCAGCAAAGAGTCCTGGACACGATGACAACTACACAGAGAGAGACTTGATTCAGTACTTATCACTTCAAGTGATGGATCTCATAAACTCTACAGCAACAATGAAAGAAATGCTCCTGTAAAATACAGACAGTGAATTAATATCAACTAAATAAAATATAATTTAGGGCTTCAGTATGGATTCATTGGTAAATTACATTCTTTAGACATATTGTTGAGTCTTTACAGTTTAAGCAAACACCACCTGATGAATGAAACTTGTAATCACTGATTTAACTAATTTATGTTCATTTCAGTTATATTGTCTGTTAAGTCTGATGTTGGTTGTGTCTTTTGTCTGATGTGATCCTTGTTTTTTATGTGCTTCAGAACAGAAATTTGTCTTTTATCTTTTAAAACTTTCCTGTATAATAAATTAAAAGTGAAAGTGCTATCATCATATTTTCCCAGAGTGCACGTCGTTTTGGGAACCTTCACAATTTTCTTATTTTATATCCAGATTAACGTGGCAACTTGAATAGTCAGCTGTTTATTCTCTTTTCTTTGGTTGACTGACTATTTTTTGCAGCTCATCTTCTTAACCCTGCTGATGTAATCCTGCTGGTTTAACTATAAGGGTAACCGTGTCACATTTGAATAAACATCTCTTCAGTAAGTAATGGAGAGTTCTTACCAGAGCAGAGATGCATAAGGGTGGTCTTGTTCACCGTCTGGATCAGAGGCAGAAACAGAAGCACTGTCATAGAGACTCCCACTGCTGTCTTCAGATAATGAAGGGGAGCCAACAGAGAACCTTTTCCTCATCACAGCCATCTGTGAAGTTCAGAGATCGTTAAACTTGCATTGGGAAACAGAAATGGTCTTCTTATTGCTCCGAAACATCACATCTTTATAATACTGTCTTACCATGTTGCAAAGATGAAATATGAAGACAAAACTCCCTTTACCTGTGAGACAACAAAAGTCACAACATCTTTAAAAAATACTCTACGTCTCCCCATCTTCCTCTGGCTATTTTATTGATCCGAATTTCTTTGAGCTATGGCTGTCAATTTGACAATTGTGCTACAAATACATTTTTGTGAGAGGAAAAACAGCAACGAAATGGATTTCTGTCTAATTAACAGTATCATCTCTTGAATAGCACACATGTGTAACCGGCTTCATCGTTCCTGAAACAGTGGTGTCTAGGACCATGAGCAGAGCAGAAGATCATTTATGTGCAGTCTGTATATTTATAAAGCCAGATGTTGTTGGCTGCTTCCTGTCCTTTCACATTAAGATAGAATTTCAGCCAAATCTGTTTAGTAAATAATCATTTTTTTGGCTGTGTCGCTTATCTACAGAGGTACACATCTCATGAGACATTAACTTAGATTGCACTTGTATGATAAACTCCACTGGGTAAATTCGGCGTCCTTGCTATCCAGTAACATGTCATAAATGTAAAAATATTCCTTTACAGGGTGTATTCCACCACGAAGAATCCTGTAACATCACCAGTAAAAAATCTGTTTTTTTAATGGCTAATATTTTAAAATTAGACTATGCCGAATGAAATAACTTCTCCGAAATAAGTCAGCAGACAAATTGTAGTATTTTAATATTTCATGTTACATTAAATGCCATGAATGAAAATTTAAATGAGCACAAATCTGAATGCAGTTCGGACTGACCTTCAGTTTAACGACGCTTACCTTGTCATCCTTCGCACGAGACTGCCTCCTTCCTGTCGACACAGGCAGATTGTCATCATCACAGTTTATTAGTGATGTCAGGACAAACTGAAAAGCAAAGCTATTTTAACCCCTGACTCCAGATGGGAGTGGGGAAAAGGTCCGAGTCGTATTTGAAGCCCTTTGGATTAACATTTCTCTTTGCATTCAAAATAAAAGCCTCGTCAAGCACAATGCAGACCTACATTAAATACAGCTGAGGTTACATCCGTTTCTTTGTTTTGTATCGTTTGGACATGCATTTGTATGAAGTTATTATCATCACTGTCGTTATGATAGCCTACCAAAGAAAATGCGCCCTAAAGACTCCTATTATCTTCCTGTAATGAAAGCTTATTAAAAAAAATCTAACAATTTGGTGACATATTGCATCACAGTAGAAGATAATAGCAATACTACTACTACTAATAGCATGAGCTAAATAATAATAAAATAATACTAAAACTAACACTATTACTACAATTAATAATAATGACAACTTGATTAAAATTGTCAACTTAAATAATTAAGTTGAATCGTTGAGCCAACAACTCCACATCAGTGCCAGACTTCATCTCAATATTCTTAAAATACTCAATAAAAAATAATTTAAAAATCTACTTTCACATGATTAATTTTTCTTATAATTGGCACTAATTGTTTTAAATTGTGCATTTGTTACTTACAAAAAATAAAAATCACAATAAAGAACTAGTCAATGAAAGACCACCATGTTTGTCAAACATATTTATTTAAAAAAGGGACATTAAACAAACAATAATCAAACAGTCAGCGTTACACTGACAACAACAAATCATCATTCTGAGAGAAACTCACTTTCAGACACTGACCTGTGCTGGACGCTTTTACACATAGCTTCTGTCACAATCACTGCTGACATTATTACAAGGATGCTTCTCAAAAACATCCCAAAACAGGAAATTTAACCAAACTCTTCCTAAGCTGTTGGGACAAAAAAACAACAACAATCTCTTACTGGTTCAAATTTCCCCCAGCCAAAATATCCCTGATTGATCTTTGACCTCAAACACATCTGAGCCTAGTATCAAGGAAGTATTCTTCTTCGTCCGTAAACAATGATTGGACATTTGTAATGTGACCTGAACAGTGATTGAGAATGAGTCCTCGGTTGATAACGCAGCTGTGTGAATGCAGGTCCTGCTCTGTAAGGAGCGGGTCCTCAGTTGATGGTGAGCACGTCGCTCTGGATCTCGTGGCTCAGCTGAGTCTGCAAGTCGCTCAGCTTCTTCTTAAGGACGGCCAGTGCTGACATGACGATGGTCTCCGGTCGCAGGGAGCCACAGGACTCGACATTGTAGAAGAACCTGTGAAGGGAAATGTCATAGGTGAGTCAATAGATGAGTGATACCTGCTATGTCCGGATTGTAAAACCATTCAGTGATAAAATACACAAGTTTATCTGCCCAAAAAGCCAATCATTAAAATATTACATTCACACATCAAAGTGCAATTTTTACAACCAAGTATTACTGTAAGTAAAATGTTCTGAGGCTTTCTAAAAGGCCGATATAACTCTAATAATATTAATAACTATGTTGAGTAAGAATCTTATTTCGGCCGCTTGTATCTCATTATTTCGGTCACTACCCACAGCTCAGGAACATAGGTGAGGATTGGTACTCGTGAACAAGAACTAGAGATACTGGAACTCCCTAACTTTTTTTAAAGATTTTTTTTTTTTTTTGGGTCTTCATGTGCCTTTAATGGAGAGACAGGACAGTGGATAGAGTAGGGAATGACATGCGTGAAAGCAGCCACAGGTTGGATTCGTACCCGGGCCATGCGCTACCTGGGAACGCCTTTGGTTCCCCCGGGAGGAGCTAGAAAACGTTGCTGGGGAGAGGGACGTCTGGGGCAACTTGATTAGCCTGCTGCAGACGTGACCCGGCCGTGGATACGCGGAAGACAACGGAAGGATGGATGTTGAGTAGTATGATGTTAGGATATAATATGATAAGGGCATTTTACATTGAGAATTTTACATGAGGATGAAGCACAGAGTTTTAATTTGAAAAACATCACTAATGTCCTTTAAGTTTTGTTGACATGATGTTTATTCCTTTAAAATAATTGTAAAAAAAAAAACTTCATTATGTATAATGTGTAGTTTGGAAAGCTTCTCTTTGGGGAACACGTTGGGGCTGTATGACAAGTGTTTGTTTTACATACTGAATTTGCCTCATTTCAGTATGCCTAAATTTCATTTTTTGTCTTAGGAATTCTCCAGACAAGGGACCATACATGTATGAAAGTGCAGCTAGCAAACAGAATTGTTCATTTGCTTTCAATGTTTTTCAAGTTATCATACATTTGTGTAAAGCCATGAACAGTTTCATGGTTCACAGTTAAAGATTATAGCTTTTCATGCATAAATACAACATTTACAGGATGGGGGGGGGGGTATCCTTTTTCTCTGACCCTGGGATACTCCATGGGAAGATGCTGAGAACAGCGTCACTGAGAAGGCTTTATATGTTCACAACAACAGGTTCTGTTGCTGCTTTCGGAGGAAGAAATCAATGAAAAACTGTTCTGAGAAAGGCATCTTCATCTCAACTCAGAGACCCTCTTCACCCTGATCAACCTAAAGGTGAACAACAGTCCCCTTCCCCACCTTTCTGGCTTTCCGTTTGGGTCGTAGGGAGCCTCAACCTCGTCCTCCTCGATCTCTGTATACTCACTCTTTGGCCTGTGAACACATCAGAATACAGTAAGGTAAGTCATCAGTCAAAGGTCAACTATAAACTCTACTTTCATTCCTTGTTGGCGAGCCATATCATAATAAGGAACATACCACTCCTCTGGACGTGGGAAGACGGTGTGCCTCAGAGCGTTGTCGGGGTCGTACTCAAAGGAGACGCCTGCGGTTGGGTTCCACTTGGCGTGCTCCTTACCGAAGCCTTTCTTAGCGTACGCCCTGAGCCGCAGTTCCTGACCTTTACGGAGCTTCACCAGCAAAATGTCTGCGTTGTGTCAGTAAATGATGGAAATAGAAGTGAAGAGAGAGAGAGAGGAGAGGTAGATGTTTCAACTGTGAAATAAATGATAACAATGGACAGCCAGTATTACAATCCAGGACAGCGTTAAGCTCACCGTCTTGTTCAACATAGTCATTGGGATCGTTGTCTCTACTCCTGGAGGTCACCTGGAAAGCACAATGAAGAAATGTGTGAGCTTCTTCTTCGGCTATCTCTAAAGTCAAAGGAGACCCAAAGAAAGAAAACTCACTGGGATGACTCTGGGGTTATTGGACAAAAGGTCACGGGAGGTGACGTGACGCGTCTGGTCTTCGGTACATCGAACATCCATCGTCAACTCAACAGAGCACTCGGGACAAAAGTCATCACAGGTACAGTCCTGCAGGAGGATCAGATACAGAGAGACAGAACATGATGCGTTTCCTCCAGGGGAGAAAGACTCCGTTGCTGGAACATAAACCCTTCTGCCAGAATGAAATATCTTCCTTGTCACAAAGTGTCACAGATGACTCACTCACCCTGGAGTACTGCAGTTTCTCCACGATGTCATCACTCGTGAGAGGTATGAGACCTGACAAGAGATGGAAACATCAATGTTGATACAGCGGCTCCACAAGCAGCACGCTACTGTGTGTTGCTAGAATAAATCACATCGAATCACTGTCATCAAGATGCATTTTATGAAGATCTGAGAACATACATACCAACTCTGTGTGCAACAAACTCATCATGCAGTACTGATGAATTGGCATCGATCTGGATCCAGTCAATAGCTGCAAAGAAAGAAATAAAAAGAGAGAAAAGTGTCAGGAGGAAGTGCTGGAGAAAGTACATTTCCCAATATTGACACTTTGGACAACTTTTTTTTGTCCTTCATTTCTATTTGACCAAAAAATAACTTTGTATTTCAGAGTGTACGCAGCACACTTTTTACAGATAAGTTGTATGAATGTATTTTTTTGCTCTTTAGAATAGCTGTTGCACTGGACTGAGATGACATGATGTTGTCATCAGTCGCTGGGGCTTTTAAGGAGAAGATAAGGCACAGTCGGAAAAGCTCACAAAAGGTGTATGTAATAAAAAGTAAAAATGCCTTGATTCTTTTAACCTGATTTTGCGAAATTGTCCCCTTATTTTTACAGCAAACATTTTGGTGTCATATCATAAATCACCCTGTTTGATTTAATGTTCCACTTCCATGCCAGTGAGCAAAATATTCACATCGACCCTCAAACTCACTCAAAACAGAACGGAGATGTTTTAAAAGTTACTATTCCAGCCAAAGCTTTGCCTCGTGATGACGTGCCAAACGTTTGTGCTCTGGAAAAAAAAGTTGCATGTGCAATGCTGGCTCACTGTCGCTCTTTCTAAAGACACTGCTTTTGGAGTATAGTTTTCTTTCTCATCATTAAGTTTTTTGAAAATGTTCGCTCTAAATAAATCCCATCAAAGAATAGTTTGAAGGGTGCAGTGATAGCCTAGCGGTAATATCGCACGTCATATGTACAGAGGCTATAGGCCATGGGTTCAAATCCTACCTTGGCCCTTTGCTGCATGTCACCCCCTACTCTTTCCTCCCAACATTTCCTGTCTCTCATCAGCTGTACTATCCAATAAAAGCAAAAAGGCCCAATAAATAAATAATAATAATAGTTCAAAACTGTTCAATTCATGGGTTCTCTTACATGAGTTCACTTCTTCCTACATGAAATGGGATTCTATATAGAGCAAAAAGTTTGCTTTTGTTCTTGCAGGCAATTTCCTCTTCATCTCTGGTACTTTCCCAATCTCTACTGAAGAGCATTATTTTGAAGTTGAAATGATGACTTATAGATTTCAATTTGATAATTGTGTATGTTGATTTTTATCACGTTTCTTGCACAAACAGTCCAAAAGCAATTTTTCCACATGCTCAGAAAAGGCCTCTGAATGAAGCATCTCATTAGAAACTTAAGAGGCTTTTTAAGTGTTGGGGTCCATGTTTGGAGGGCAAGAATCATCATTAACTGAAAAGTATTGATTCCCATTTAAAGTGAGGGGGAAAAAAAACATCCCTCCACAATTCTGTAAGTCAGAGAAAGAGTCCAGCACATCCAATGGTCCTTCACCATGTCACATAATGAAAATGATACAACAAAAAGGTTTGAAATAACTGAGAAAACTTCAGGTTACTTTACCTATGGTCGCAACTTCAGACATGAAGACACGGCGGATAGAGTTTGCAACCCTAAAGAGAAGAAATAGTTTTGTTTTTGTAGGTCAGTGAAGACTATAGAGACAGAAAAGACCCTTAATGATGAACTATCACTATTAAATATGAAACACTGTAACACTTCTACATCTTACACATACAAACACATATTAATTACAACATACATGTACTATCATGTCTTAAGGTTACTTATTAAAGGTGTCCGGTCCACAGACTGTAGATATTGAGGTCCCGTAACAACAACAGATGTAGTGCCGAAAACAATAATGGCTGCCCTCTGCTTTACGCACTCTCTCCAAAGGGAAACTAAAGTACTTACGCCAAATCTGTGTTTTCAATGACAAACTTGACATTTTCGTCCGACAGTTCTGTGATCTTCACCGTGGGTTGGTTAGCATACGGCATTATTTAGGTGAAATAATCCAAAAAGTACGTTGTAATAGCGTCCACACACACACTCCTACCGCTGCTTCGGCTTGAAGGGCTATTTACCGCCCGGTGATTGGTTAGTAAGTCGTACGGGGGCGGGCATTGTTCAATATCCGGGTCATTTAGACCCCTTTTCGAAATAAAAGCCCTGATTGATTTTCGTGCGTGTAAGAAACAGATTTACAAATCAAGTATTTGATTCATCCTGATGGTACTTAAAGTAATTTACTATATAACATTTAAAATAATCTATTTAAAAATGAATACTTCTGATTTTGACTTTAAATACTTTTGGTGTGGAGTTTTCTTTGACATCAACCTTTATTATAAAAAACCCAAAGATGTTTCATTTACATCAGATAAAGAAAAACAAGTAAAAATGTTTAATAGACAAGAATAACTCTTTTATTTAAGTTTTGACAACAAATTCACAGATCTTCGTGTACTGTTGAAGGGAAGAAGGAGCGTTCGATCTTAGACAGTGAAACAGAACAGGACACATCCACTGGTCCTCAGGGTGAGAAAAAAAACAGACACCTTTGGCCTGGGATGAATGATAATTGCTTTGCTGATGAATAAAAGCTATTATATGCATTACTTTATCAGTGTTTCCTTACAGTAAATAAGAAATAAGAGCGAAAATAAAATTGATCTTCAGCTCATGACACAAGCCAGACGGTTATGATCAATCCGAGGGAGACGTTTTATGTATCATCGTTTCTGGTTCAGTCCTGTTAGATTTTTCAGCTGTAAAACACAAGACAAATATAATCGACATGAATATCAATGCATCCAAAAGTTTCCACATATGATTTAAAAACCAGTGGTTCTTTACTGGTCCAGCTTCAGAAGCCACCATCAACTCCTAATGAGAAAATTGCGACCCAAATTACAGATATTTTCCAACCAGTGAGATTTATTTCATGAGAAACTGACCGAAGATGGTGCGAAACATGTGACAGAACAAAGAGATGGAACTAAACAAGTATGTTTACAAAGTGTTTCATGACATTATTTTCAGACCACTGATTTAAACGATCGAAAAAGCTGTTACCCCAGAAGTGTTGCTGCTTTAAAGAAACTAATGAAAAAGAGTTATATATAACTTTAGCAAGTGTATAGCTTTTAAAAGGCTAACAATCTGTATGAATGATGAACATGAGTCAACGACTTACTGTGAAAGCAGCTCCCATGAGCCCCTGAACCACTGCTTCACCAGTCGACTGCACCTTTAAAGTGAAACCCACAATTTACAACAAGATCGAAGAATACGGACACACACACAGTGAAGTGGAGTAGAATGACATCACAAGCTGAGGTCAGTTATAAAGTTAGTAAAAACACACAGAAGTGGATCTTTTTTTTTACGTAACAACAAAAAGTCTTCAAACACTGACCACACAGAATCTGTTCCCTCTCTTGTTCAGCTCTTCAATGTTAAGAAGCACTTCACTCTACCTGTTTGGCAGTGCCCGCCATGTTGACCACATCCTGGATGCGGTTGTCAAGAAAGTTCCAGGTGTCCTGGAAATCTGTAGAGGAATCCTGAACCATGACCAGCTCTGTGGTGTTATAGATGCCCGTCAGCGCAGCCCGCTTTGTGTACCAGTTCATCTTCAAAGACAAAGACAATTACAAGCCATTTAACAAATACTATTTCATTCCAGAACAGAAGTCACACCTGTTGTCTCACAACCATTTCCTTTTTGAAGTTACATTTCTTGGGTGATTTTTGCCTTTATGGATAGGACAGCGAAAAGAGAGACAAGAAAATGACGGGAGGAGAGAGCGGGGGACGATATGCAGCCAAGGGCCAAGGCCGGACTCGAACCCACGGCCGCTGCGATGAGGACCACAGCCTCCGTACATGGGGCGCGCGACATAACCGCATTAAAGGGATGCTCTTTAAAGAAGTGTCTCAACAAAATATAATTAATTATGAGGCTGAAGTAAATGCTTTAATTCTGAATTAATCTAATTGAATTTTGAATTCCTCACTATATTTGCAATGGTTTCTTGCAGTCGGTTATAGGCTGCTTTTGGGTTTATTTTTTGACTGTAGGTATAATAGAATAAATATATTTTAAAAGCCTCAGTCAGCTTATAAGTATAAAAGTCTTTTTCAGGGTAGGGATCGGTAAAGTGACAGGCCTGGATAAAGTGGAAGTGTTGGATTGTAATGAGAAGAACAAGACAAAGAAGAACAAGAAGAAGGGGATAGAGTTCAACTGGATCCACTCACATCTGTTGATCGGTCTCCTGCATAAAACCAGATATCGTCCACCAGCGTGCTGAGGTGCTTCAGACTGTTTGGGATGTTGTGAGGGAGAAGAAGGATGCTCATTGCCTGAGCAAGCATACACAACGTCAATGATCAGGAATGCAAATGTAATTTGGCCCTGTCTGTAATGTTTGTAAAAAGAACAGCAATTGAAAGAAGACACAAGAACTCATCGCTATGCACAACATACCTGTGGCCATGATTCAATGTAGGGGATGTGCATCCTCAGTCTGGTCTCTACAGCATCTCTTAGAAAGTCAGCGGTCCTTTTTTGCCTGAAACAAAGTTGTCAAAGCTTATTGGTGGAAATCTTCAAGTGAAGAAGGAGAATGCTTTCTTTTTTCAAATGCCGGAGGTTAATGTGTGTTAAAAGGGACGAAAGAGTGTGTGTGTGTGTGTGTGTGTGTGTGTGTGTGTGTGTGTGTGTGTGTGTGTGTGTGTGTGTGTGTGTGTGTGTGTGTGTGTGTGTGTGTGTGTTCATACTCGGCCTGGCCCAGCTGGACCTGCTTGTGTTGCTCAGCCAGGATCTCGGTCAGCTGTGAGTTGCAGTGAGAGACGAAGTGCAGCACCAGGTCTCCAGCTCCGTTGTAGAACATGCCAGTAGAAGCAGAGGACAGGTCCAGTGTCTGGTGCAAACAAAAAAAACATCAAGCTCAGCCTTATAATAGCACTCATTTAGAGATTCTATTCTTAGGGGATTCTTTTATTTCTATCAGAGGTGCGACAGCAGAAAGCTACGAGATGTGAGTGAAAAGACTGGGAAGGAGTAGCATCTAAGATTCTCCCCTGGACTTGAACCTAGGATAAAATGTGGCACCTCAGTTGCCTTTTTTTTGTGTTGATGGACATATAACTTACTTAAGACATATTACTTATTCAATTTGACAAATCGCTACGCTGAGTTATCAATATGTGTAATTTAAAGATGTTAAATATCAGGATACAATCTCGATGCTGCGATTTGAAAGACATAATGTGTTCTGCTATTTTTAGATCCACATTCAGGTCAGATCCCTTCAAATGCCACATTGTCTCCTTTTTGCAATCCTGACATGTGACGCTAGTAACAACATATTGTCACTCTGGCCATAAATAAACCCTCAGAAGTGGAAGAAAAGGAGAAGCGTTTGAGGCTTGTTATGGCCCAGACAATGGTGCAATAGTAGAAAGCCTTAATGTGCTCAGCGACTCCTGTTTTATTCGTAGCAGCAACTCACCTCAGCACCAGCAGCAATGGCCTCCATGGACCAGCCGTGCAGCGGGACAAACTCCAGGGCAGCGTTCAGGATTCGAACCTGAAGCTGCTCCTCTGTTTCATATTCCTCACCCTGCTCTCCGCTCTGGTCCTGGTAACTTTCGCACAGACACACAAGCAGTCATGTAAGCTGGGGGGGGAGGGTCATTTCACAAATGTCCCTTAAAAGTGCAGCAGGTCAGTGCTGGGTAGTTTAACATCCTGTCTGATTTATTTGATATCTACTGACCTGGTGTTTGGCCTGGAGGCCTCCTCAGCTGCAGGGTCAGATGTTGAAGCCTGTTCAGCAGAGTGAGTCTGGTAGTGCTCGTGGTGGGTTGTGGATGAGGAGGAGGAAGGAGGAGGTTTGTCAGATTTGGATTCATCCTGAAGCCTCAGTGCTGCACAGTGGATGCCTCGTGTCAGACCGCTGCACTGGGGGTTTGCGGCTGGTGGTGCAGACACCACTGTAGGGAGATGGGGAGAGAAAGGTATTCATTAGACCACTTCATATTTGGTAATGTAAACTAACTCCTTTTACTAAATCAACACTTATGAAACATTTTTTAGGAGCAACAAAAATAAGTTTCAAGCAATGGCTCTCAGATGAGTAGGACACTGAAAAGTTGAAAGCACAATAGTCTTGACATTTAACCTCCGACACGACAAAGAGATGCACTTTTCCCATTCAGAAGTGAAGCTATCTCAGACACATTTCCAAAGTCTGCTATGACGGTTGGGCAATATGGCAAAATAGGCAATCAATTTTAAACTTCTATTTGTGGATTGAGCACCAAAATGAAGCTGGAGGTTGATTTAAAAAAAAAAAAAAAAAACTACTATGAATGAATATGTTTAATTACTTTTAACTTTTATGTGTTTTTATGATGTTTTGGATGCAATGTATTTTGCCTGATTTACTGCACAGCACTTTGGTCTGCCTCGGCTGCTATAAATGTGCTATATAAATAAAGCTGACTTGACTAATTATCATACAATGATCAATGTCAACCAGTTGTAGTGTGATCGATGACTGCTCGGCTGTGATGCTCAGCGGATGACAGTGCACAAAGTATTGCAACCTGTTGGGAAAAAAAAAAACGACGTGATGCCAAAATAACCGCGCTCAATTGCATCTGTCCCGACTGTTATTTCAGACTTTTCCTCTCACACATATACCTCACAAATCCCTAACAGTGACTTTCTGTACAACCTCTCTTGCAGCCAAAGCCTCACATTCTTGAAAACTGTATTACAACCAAAATTAAAATCCTGAAGCATAGCCATTGTTTGTTTATATACAAACTTCCACGCAATTATCTGCCTTCTTCACATTATGAGAATATCAGACAATTGAAGAAGTATTTCTGGTTTCCTTATATCTTATCCTAGGCTTTGTTCTTCGACTACACATGAGATCAACACACTCAAAGGAAAGACACTTTCAGGAGAAGACTGCTTTGTAGGAAGTGCATAAGGGTGTCAACAACTTTATGAGGAGCAATTTGACTTAGCTATGTATCTTACAGGGTGACTACTCTGTTTCAGCACTGAAATCAAAAAAGTGATTATTGTAATTCAGGAGAAACCTTCTTGTGCTTCAGTGCTAAAAACAGCACAGATGAGGATAAACACACTTTGACAGATTGCATAACCAGAGACCATCTGAAGGGGACATTACAAATATGCAATGATTGTTTTGAGGATCTAAACAAGCAGCTATCCAAGTCAATCTACAATTCTGCGCATAATGATTACGATTTTACAGCCACAGTCAACATAATGTTTCCAAATTCTGCCCTTCATGTTCACCTTCTGTGACAAGTGACTTTGTAGCAAACAGTCAACACAGGCTTTTTCACTGCATGCAACAACTAGCTGCAAGAGCGGACAATGCATGGTAATTATTCAAGCTGCCAATTAAAAAGGACGACGACACAACACTTATGTTGCTCGGTGTTTGTTACCGCTGCACAGCCCCCGGAGTGTCCTTCCAGCTCGCAGACCTCTCAGTAGCGCCGCCATATCCAGCAGCACCGAGGAGTTATTTTAGAAAACTGCTTGCGTCATTTCAGCGCGACTTGAGTTGCGAAATCTTCAATGAATCAAGCCAGCAGGAATGAAGCTCATGGGTTTTTCAACTTAAAACCAAAGTGGACTATTTGAAAGTGACGCAAATAACCATAAAACATTTGGAAATGACGCTGCTCGCCTAGATTACTCGAAAGTATTCCGAGAATACATAAACTACCCAAATGTGATCATTTCAACTACTATTGATTGATTGATTAAATTTATTTCAGACATATCAAATAAAATCAAACATATCAAAAATACAAAACAAAATGAAAAGCACGAAAATACAAGAAACAAAAAACAATGTTCAAATTATTTCACAACAAAAGAAAAAGAAAATTACATGTATTCAATTGATATGCCTGAAAAGGAGTAGGAAGAAGTATAAAACTTATTTAAGCCTACCCCTCTTTCCAAGCTCAATAATTAATATTTATTAAATTAACTTAACTTCCTGTGTTCCTTATAATCTCTCTCTCTATATACAATCTATCTAGATACAATTTGATATACTATATTTATGATACTATATTTGATATTTACAATCCAATGATTTTCCATACATATATACAACTTGATAAACTATGATTTTTTTTATAATTTATATATTTATACAATCCATATATCTATATATACATATCTATTTGTACAGTTTGATGTACTATATTGACATTTTCTATATTTATACAATCCTTATATCTATACAGTTTGGTACAGTATGTTTACAATTACACATTTGACACAATCTATGACTCACCAAACTCTACAAAAGAGTCGAAACCTTTTTATTTTGAAAATCCGTAACGGAAAAGGTTTGTCTTACTTCTGATACTTGACACTGAAACATCTACAGCGAGACAACGACTGGCCCACTGGTTAAACAGTATTACATTGATGTTTTCCTCCATTTAACCACCGAGCCTATTCAAACAACCACATAGAAACGTGAGTATATGTCGTTCGTACTTCCTCTCGTACCATCCTGTCTTTATAAACAACGTGGACGTGATTTACCACCCGGTGTCTTCTGCGTCACGCTGGTTTCATGTGAAGCAATCCTGTGAAATTCACCTGTGTCAACAATACACGCTAACTATGAAACAACGGGGACAACCCTCTAAAAGCTGATATATTTAAAGATATTTCGAGACAATGTTTTAGTGTCTTGAAGGAACAACTTCGACAGTGTGTCAGACTGGAGACGTTTCCAGAGCATTCAAGATGTTTAGCTGTAACCATGAGGGGATAATGTTATGTTAATGGACATCATTCACCAGCTAGGAAGCGTCACTGTCTATAAAAACAACCAAATGTCAAGGTCATATGTAGATATCCTACATAGGACTAGTTTCTTTACAATCTTATGACGTAGTTCTAATAGACTCGTGATAATTGATGTATTGACATAACTTGTGTTCTGGGTCTTTCTGTCCATCTGTTCATCACACGCCACGTGTCTTCACTATCAGGTGATCCAGAAACAGCTAGAACCTGCCTTTTTTTTTCTTTCTTTTATTACAACATCAATACATACATGTATATATTTTTTTTTATTGAAGGAAATCATGGCAGAGCTTGGCATCAAGGCAGGGGACCAGGTGATGTTAGTGTGGTCTCAGCCCTCATCACCAGCAGCCCTGAAAGAGTTTGCAGAGGAACTCGGCGCCGCTGTTGGCGCAGAAGGCAAAGTATCAGTGGAGAACATGGAGAGATTACTGATGTGTGAGTGATAAACTCATGTACTGTGTGTTCTTTATTGGCCTGCATTAAGAGTGTTTTATCACCACTAAATCAAGTAAGAGTAAAATGATCCTCTCTCCTCTTCAGCTTCCCATTCAGCGTCTACCTTTGACTGGGTGCTCTCTCACCTTCTGGCTGACAGCTCCTCCACGCACAGCTCAGACACTTTGGTAGAAATGGCCAGAGTGCTCAAACCTGGTGGAAAGCTAGTCCTGGATGAAGCAGTCACAGGTGAGGGAAGGGGTTGCTCCTTTAGATGCCTAAAGACTAAAACTATTTTATGTTGAAGTACATAGTTTGGATTTTAATGTCATACATTTGTGTGTGAAACTACGGTTGTCCTTTACATTTTGATAGTGCTGATAAGCTTTGCCCTCTATTGTAAGCTGCTCTAATAACCATATTTCTCCCATTGGGGGATCAATGAAGTTAATCCTATCTTGTCTTATAAATTCTCATAAATGTTTATGTACTTAAGGTAACTACAAATTAGAATAAAGCTTGAAATGCCACAACACAACATGTCTAACATAGATTGCATTCCCTATAGCAAACAGGACATTTAAAGAAATTCAGAAATATTAAAAAAAAATGTTTTTTGTGACAGGTCACTTAACCTTCAGAGTCTCTGAGCTTGTTTGTCTTTTTTCTTTTCTCTGCTCCAGGAGCTGAGACCCAGAGTGTGAGGACTGCAGAGAAGCTGATGTCAGCTCTGAAGTTGTCGGGCTTTATGTCCGTCACAGAGGTGAGGGTTCTTGTTGACGTACAGTGACTGTGAATGTTAAAACATGGTCGTCCGTGTGTGAATAAAGCTCTTCTGAGGGAACTTTCCCTTGTGACTCGCAACCTTTAGAGGACGAGGGTCTTAATTAAGTTCTGGTGAATTTATTTTACCCCTTACAAAAGTCCTTACTTTAGGAGTAGTCATAAAAAAAAAGGGAACTAGAACTTTAGGGGTGGGGCTTTCAGAGCTGAACATGTCTGATTGGTTTCATTTCATTCACTTGCAGCATTTATTTAAACTACCTTTTAAAAAAAAAAAATCCTGAACATGGAAGCAGAAGGTTTCTTATTTTAATTATGCCTTGATACATCAATGTTGAGTACTAAGTACACAGTCTACTATGCTTTAATGCTTATGATGCATCCATTTGAATCTGTAAATAAGGACTAATGAGGTGTAGCTCTGTATGATGTTGTTGAATCTGTGTTCAAAGATGAGGTGTATAAACAGCTCCCCAGCTCCTGTTGAACTCCATGCTTTGTCTTCATTCAGGTCAGTAAAGCAGAACTGAGTCCTGAGGCATTAAGTTCCCTCAGGACAGCCACCGGTTACCAAGGAAATACCCTGTCCAGAGTCCGCGTTTCTGCCTCCAAGCCCAGCTTTGAGGTGGGATCGTCCAGCCAGATCAAACTTTCATTTGGTAAAAAGACACCAAAGCCAGGTTGGTACATGAAGCCAGATTTCTTAGTATTTTCCAGGCAGTTTTTATGTCTACATGATGGGTTTTTTTTTTTTGGTGGATAAGTTGAGAAGTTTGTTCCTTCATCTGTCCCCAGTGATCCCTTTTGAAATGTTAAAGTTCACAGATCTGCATTTTCACATTTACTGATGTGTAGATAATACTTGCACATATCTGTGGTCCCAGCAGAGAAACCAGCTCTGGATTCCAACACGGTCAAAATGTGGACGTTGTCAGCTAATGACATTGGTGATGATGATGTGGTGAGTTACAGATGAGCTATCTTTCTGTGTTTGAGTCTTGTGAGATAGAGATTAAGCCTGCTCTGTAGAAAGCTGCACATAGTCTTTAAGATAATATGGACTCATTTGCATGTTTTCTTTTCTGGACAGTGAGTTAACTGTGTGTTCTGAATCTTTCTCCGTAGGACCTGGTGGACTCTGATGCTTTGCTGGATGAAGAGGACTTCAAGAAGCCAGACCCGGTCTCTCTGAAGGCCCCAGGCTGTGGAGAGGGAGCCAGCAAGAAGAAAGCCTGCAAGAACTGGTGAGGTCGCCCACAAATGTATAGAAGCCATAGACATGGTCATATAAACTCTAATTTATGCTCCAAAAGGCAGTTACACATGATATGTTATGTTTGGTAGCTCATGTGGTCTTGCTGAGGAGTTGGAGCAGGAGAGTGAAGGAAAACAGACGTCGAACATGCCAAAGTCTGCCTGTGGAAGCGTAAGTTTATTCTGTTGTGTATTTTCAAATTCCTACATTTCCTTTTCTATAATACTAACCTTGTTTACTCATTGTTTTGTCTTTATGGCAGTGTTACCTGGGTGACGCGTTTCGATGTGCCAGCTGTCCATATGTAGGAATGCCTGCGTTTAAACCAGGAGAGAAGATCAAGCTGGACAACAAGACGCTGACAGACGCTTAAGAAAACTGAATATACACATCCAACAGCCCGATTCAAAACCTACATTCCCTTTTTTTTTTTTCCTTCTTCTCACGATCACCCAGTGACATGTCTGAAGACACAAGCTCCCCCCCTGCAGAAAGCTGTGTTTTCTACTTTTAAGGCTTCACTGTTTGAAATTGACACAGTATCTTGTTTCTGATGTCCTGCTTGTGGCAAGTGTATAAATGAAGAAATGTCCAAATTTGATTGAAATGAAAGTTATATTCTGCTGCTGTTCATTATGCAAGCTGTGGTGTGAGAAGAACCTGGAGAGGTTGGCTTAGGAAGAACTTAAAAGCACTGAAATGCATCTGTTTTTGTTCTTTTCATTTGAAGTTATATTTACGTCTGATCACTGACATCATTACAGTATAAAATAGGAACTATAATTCACCAATAATCACACAGAGGCCCAAAAATAACCCGGCATGATGTCCAATTCAAGCTTTTTGATGTAAATAAAGGCAACATGTTTGGAAAGATCTGTGGTTCTTTTGTTGTGGTTTAACTAATATGTTGAAAGTGGTGACAATTTACAGGAAACAGTTCAAATAAAAAAACTGAATTAGTGATGGTGACCCAATTACAAGGCATTTTCTAGCTTCTTACAGTTCTCGTTTTAAAGAAATCATTCATTTGATACTAAGTATTTGGTAATGATTCTTCTGCTAAGAGCCTGTTAGAGGTCACAGGTTTTTACTTCATCAGTTAACTGTGAATCTTCGAATAGTAGCCAGATTAGCTCTTATAATTCACAATCTACTGAACATTTGGTTTGATGGTTAAGTGAGAAAGATGTTGGATGTTGACTCCCCATGACCAGTAGAGCCTGCTGACATTCATAAGCCATCACCATCACAGACACAGCCCGTACATGATCCATTAAGTGTTGACTTCTTGTTTCTTGACTTAAATATTGATTATTTATCTATTCTGGTCTCTTGGTTCTCTCCTTTACCCTAAAGTATCAGAGCCCAATACATCTATGAAGGGACTGACTTGAAATTCACAAACATTGTATATTATAATAAACTGCAACCTGAGGACCTAATTAACCAATCAGAATCATGTAGTCATCACCGCTGTGTAATTACAAAAAAAACTACAACCAGACTTGCAGTATGTCTATAGGCAGCGCATTTACTTGAGTCAGTATGGATGACGGCTTATTAACAGCAGATAGTACACTCTCTTATGAAAGCACATTCCTTCATTACTGTTCAGATTAGAGCACTACAAACATGGAGGTGTAATTTCAGAGAACAATCCAACATTATCAGTCCTTGAAAGAATATTAGAAATGAAGAGCTCAGGTTAAATGTTACTGTCTGTTTAAAAAAAGTAAACTTCCCTATAGGAAACTCCACAATGAACCACGTTGGACAACAAATATTAAACTTTATAAAACATTTCTAGAACAACTCGTTTGGCTTTGTTAGATGGCTGACCGGTTACAACACCTCTCTGGTACACAAACTTCAGCTCTTCAGATTTGTTTTTGCTGAAATGCCTGTAACAGGTTACTTTCACAAAAAAAATCACTGATGTCCCAGGAAGTGCAACAATCTTAAAACACTGATTTCTGTTCAGTTAATAGAATAACTACACTAGCTGAATCACAAATGTTAAATGTGCACCAAGAAAAAAAGACAATCCAGACAGCAGTGAGAGGTGAAAGCTCAGCATTAATAGTCTGTTCTTCAGTCACTAGGACTGGATGCTGAAGTCCATCTTAATGTCTCCTAAAGTGGGTTCAAACGTGTAGTTGTAAGACACTGCTGCTCGGCCATCACCTGAACTGTCCCACGGTGAGCTGAGAAAATACACTCCCTGTTTCCTGTGTCGACTCCACTCACACTCGCCCTGAAAGGAAGGCAAAGCAAATCTTTGACAAGATCCCTCCCTTACAATCCTGCTGAACAGGAAGAGATGAGCTCAAAGGACAATGAAAGAACAAGACAAGCTGGGGGTACCTGCTCACTGATTGGTCCTACCAGACCTGCACTGACAATGATGTCATCGGTTAGATGATATTCCATCCACAACGCAATACCATGGCAACGACCAACCCTGAAACGCACATTAAAACAATCTAATCGTAAAGTGTAGTTTACAATTAGAGCCTCACAGATACATTCTAAATCATTATTTTTAAGTAGCTTTACACTCCATGGCAGTAAGTACAACGTAAAATAACTTTATAATTTACCGTATGATTTAAAAAAGAAAACATAGTTACAGAAGAATTCTCAGCACCTTATGAGAGGGAGCGAGCCCTGACTGTTGATTGGCTGTTTAGGGACACACTCTGTAAAGTCAAAGGTCATGACGGCTGAGGACTGGGTCAGAGCACGACACGGGTACTCCCAGAGAGGGTGGGGCTCGGCCTCACGGGACTCACGGAAATCCAGAGATCTCTGAAGGTCACAAATACATGATTTTAGAAAACAGATGTGGAAGTCCATAAAAACTTAGACCGGAAAATAAACGATTCATCTAGGAGTCCAACTTGTGTTCAATTTATTTAATTGATGATTAATGATTTAAGCAATCCCCTACAGTAACCAGAGTTACATGTGGATCACACAGGAGGTTAAATCTGACGGCTGTGAAAATAAAGCATGCTTCAAACTAACCTGGACCATTTCATCCATGGGTGTTACGTCAAAGCCTTCACATGTTCCACACGGTGCTCGTATCCTCCACAAATCCTTAAAACATGTGAAAGTTCATGTATGATACAGTGTACTGTATATATAATATCTTTTGTATGTGAAAAAACGTTTTAAAATGTGTCCTCGTTTGAGGCATTAAATGAGCATCTGTGTCGGCAAAAAGGAAAAGGCCAAACATCTCTTATAATACTGAAGTCACTATTTTTAAATTCACAAATGACAGTTTCATATTAAATTGTACAAAGGAGTAGTAGGGCCACATGAGGGCAAAAACATCGGAGATTTCGAGATTTAAGTCATAAATCCAAAAGATATACTTGGGAATTTGTGAGAAGAAAGTCGCAAGAGAAGAAAGTCACACATTTCAAGAGAATTGAAGTCGTAAATGTACGAGATTAAAGTCGTAAATTTACAAGAATAAAGTCGTCTTTATTTTAATCTATAGCTTCTCAGGAGAACAGCAGCCGCTGTTCCAAAATGGAGAAACATGGAGCATCTACTGGAGTTATACCTTAGTAAAGGTTTCACAAATAAAGAATACTTCATCTATTGGCACACGTGAGTCATGTCATGAGTATCAGGACCCTGAAAAGATACTGCAAGAAACTGAGGCTTTTCCTTAGAAAGAACCACACTGACTTGGAGGAAATTGTGTCTTTGGTGGGAGAGGAAATGTATTTGCAACCTTTCAGAATAATAGTTTTAACCATAGTCTGATTAAATTCGATTTAGGAATTTAATTTATTTTTTTTAATGTACGACTTTATCCTTGATAATTTACAACTTTAATCTTGATTTTTTTATTCTATTCTATTTTTTAACATGGCTCTAATACTACACCATAAAAGTGTAATCACTTTTGTAATCACAAGTGTGAACACTTCCATTACCATTCATAGAGGATTTCTCCTCAAATCTCCCTACAGGGCAAAGAGCTCTTAAACATACGTACAAACAGTGCGATCTGTTGCAGGCCTAGATTATCATGGATATGACTTTGCCCTTTCTTTCAATCACACATGTTTCTGTCTCACCTGGAACTCTACAGCCATCATGTGCAGTGTGGCAGAGCGGGGCAGCATGGTGGCGTCTGGCCGGAGGAGGCCTGCCAGGGCCGTCCGACAGTACCAGAAGAAGAGAGAGTGCCAGGGTAAGAGGCTGGTGCTGAAGTACGGCTCACCCATCAGGACTGAGATCTGTGGGAGAGATGATGTACGCTCAATCCAACGAAATAAACACTTCTGAGCTTTGCTGCGATATACCACATAGAACCAAAGACACATGGGGGGGGGGATTTGGGAAATTCAACAAAATGGAATTTTAATCAAACAGATTAGAACCCCTGATGGACATTTGGGGGCAGTAGAACGAATCATAAACACAAGTTTGACACGCTAACAAAAAAATTGGCAGCTATTTAAACGTCTAGCAATGAAGAGCAACATAAGCTTAAGCTGGAGGCATTTTTTTGGGGCCATTTTCATATTGGCGTATTTTTCCTATTAAATAGGCCTACTGTTGCATTGGTACTTTAAAACAGTTTTTTCCTTTAGTTTACAAGCTCAAAGACGCTAAAATGTCTTTAGAGCTGAAATAGAGGTCAAATCCATGTTACTTAATCGCTCTGCACACAGCCTGTTCTTTGTTTGTAGGCCAGGCCATTTGCTACTCTGCACATCCTTGATGGCAATAACATCAGAGCCACTCTGTTGGACCGCAGCCCACCCCACCAAAGGCTTTGTTCCAAAGGTACCTGTTCCCCTCCTACATCACTGCTGGTCAGCTGCTCAGGCCTGATCTCAAGCAGCTCCACACCTCCTTTCTTCAAGTTGGCTTCCAACACCTGCATGGACAAAATGTTACACTTTATCCTCTGCCTCTGGAGTCTGCTGCTTTAGTGCTGATATAAAACAAAATGTGAAATTATAAATGAAGTCTGTCAGTTGTTAAAAAGGTAAGGTGTGCATTATAATTCCTTTTACCTGTTCAATAACCTGTTTGGACATTCTGGAGTTTTCCAAACTGTAGACCTAGACATGGAAGAGGAGAATAAAGAGATGTGAGAGAAACAGATCTGAATTTGTTCCATGGTTTGTAAAAAGGTTCAGTATCTGCTCATAGGGTCTAAGCAGCGTACCTTTTTGGCTCCGAGTATGTGCGCAAACACAGGAAGCAGACTCCCATCACTCACACTAAGACACACACTGTCCTCCTTCAGGACCTGGAGGAAACACAGCAGTTTATCAACAAAAAAGAATAACTTGTGTTCGTCTTTTCTCTGACACTTCTGACTGAGGTCGGCCCTCACTTACACTGCGTAGAGCGCTGACGTAGCTCTCTGTGCGCCGTCTGTCGTTGAGTTCTCCAAAACGTGGACGATTCCACACCAGGTGAGCCTGACAGGTACAACACGGCCGAGAGGGAGGAGCCTCGTTCTGTGAGTTCTGTTGGCTGAACACGCAAACACATCGATCACATGCCTGATAACACAATTACCCACAAGGAATTCACTGAACTTCTTGTTTTATAGTTGATGTTCAATACTCCACATGTTTAGTGACTCGTGCTCTGCTGCATTTTTAAATAGATGGAGAATTTATTGATCCCAATATCCATTTTTTTGGGGGGCTTTTTATGCCTTTATTAAGAGATAGGACAGTAGATAAAGTCAGAACTATGGGGGAGAGAGCGGGGAATGACATGCGGGGAAGTCCGATTCAAACCCGGGCCGCCAGCTAGGAGGACTGCAGCCTCTGCATACGTGCACGCACTTACCACTACACTACCAGCGCCCCCACATCAACT